TGCGAACGAGAGGCGCACGGTGCTCCCACACCGATAGATGGAGATAGCCTGGTCATGGACCTGGGCTCGCAAGGACATAGGAGAAGATAGGGTGGCGTGCAAAGACGCAGCTTGGTCGCTAACATCTTGGGCCGTCTGGAGCTCCGCCGTCAAGGTTTGCACCCGATCGGAAAGAGCTTGGGCCAGGGTACGCAGATCGGTGGGCGACATTGAAGAAGGGCTGACCGGAGGAGTGGTGGATGGAGCCTTGTCCGGCGATTGACTGGTACGATTGGCGGGAGACATGTGTCACGAAGAGGAGTAGGCGGTTGTGGATGTTGGTAGTGCACGTCGTGAGCGCTGTTGTGCAGCGCCGACAACGTACAGGAGGGTATTGTGGTGAAGTGCTTTCTCAGAAATAAGAGAATGGACCTGACGCGGTGTCACTATCCCGAATCAGTGACAATTTCAAGTGATTAGAGGGGATTTAGGTTGGTGGCACGGATGCAAGTTGCCGGTGGTGGATTAGCCATGACGAGCAGCACCCCGTATAAAATGACGATGGATCTGGTATGAGCGATGTACGAGAAGGCAAGATCCACCAAGACTTATCTCGGATCCACTCTTACCTGGATTCACTTAGAAGGATATGGGATATACTATATAAGGGTGAATCGAGTGTGGATCCTATGAACGAATGATGGTAGGTGCCCTCTGAAGATGGATCTAGTAGCCACGGCTAGCAAGAAGTCAGGATCCACCGCGAGGTGTCCCGGATCCCATACTTCCGAGCTCGGATCCAAGGAGGGAGGATCCCGCATGGAGGGACCTGGATCCAGGGTACAGGGATGATGGATGTGGTGGATCTCGAACTTTCCTGGGACAATGGAGATCACAGATGGTTGCGAGATAATGTTGGATGATTGGAGAGCTCAGATCCACGACGAGTGTGCACTTACAGTGAAGTGGATCCAAGCGACCTGGATCCGGATGAGTGTACCCATAATAGGGTGACCATAATGATAACGCCGTGGATCCGGTGGATCTGAAGATAATACAGCTGGGATGATGGGTCAAGGGAAGGAGGGACATGCAGCCGAGCCTGGTAAGGAATTTAACAAGTGAAAGACATAGAAGGTAGAAATCCAGGCAGGTATAGGCTTAAATATCAATACAGAACCCAATTTGCACAGTAACACGCAAGTGCCTTCCTGCCCTCAAGAACCGGAACTACATTGGCCGTACGAGCTTCAAGAAGGTTGGGAATTGCGTATCTAGCGTTGGTAGTGATAACTGGATAATACATTGGCCAGATCCTACAACCTAGTGAGCTTTTCCTTTACTTGTGCAGATCCGACAGGTGTAACCGAAGTTACTACTTGGTTGGTTACACCCTAGAGGCTCTCAACTCTCAAGATCCTGTCACAGGAGGCGGCAAGTACGACGCAAAGGCAAGGGAACACACCCGCAAGGCAACCATACGGTCAGATCCACGATCTAGGCCCCGGATCCATAAGCTCGAATATTCGCTTAGGATTCGGAACCATTCACGGACACAGAGTGAAGATTTTCCACTGCTTCTCCACCCCATCCCCACGTCTCGCCAAGACACTCAAGCTTCACCACTTGAACTCTTCGGAAGTTACCGACAGAGCAAGATCCCGCCCTACCGACGGGTACACAACGTGAGGAAAGTTCAGCAGAACACGGATCATCGGGGGCCCCCCTCCGTTAGTCGGTGTCTGGGCGCAGTTGGTAAGTTGGATCTGGCAATCTCGCAGATTTTGCTGATCCCGCTACGCCACAGTATCCAGAGTGGGGAAGACGTTGGGATCGACAACCAACTTGCCGAGAGCCCATTCCTTGGCTTTCCCAGACAACCGCGAGAGGAGGAAATTGACCTTCGCGGAAGGCGCCTCGATCAACCTCGAGGCGATGGCGATGTCGATCTCTCGAAACCAGCGATTCAGCGGAAGTCGATCTTCTCCGGCACCGGAGTAGGTGGACGTCTCTAGCTTCACGACGTCATTCGTGGAGATACGCGAGGGAGTTGACACTCGCCGATTCGCATCGGCGAGCTCGCGTTCCATGAATTCTTGTGCCGCAACGCACTACTCGTCGGGCGTCGCTGAGCGCAGCAGCGACGTTACGACGGCTTCTCCGGACACCGCCGCGAGGCGTTAAAGAGCTTCCCACTCGATCCGAGTGAGATGAAGGAAAGCAGCGTGGTCGAGGTCTTGGCTCATGTCGAACTTGGTCGTTGGAAGGACTACGAAGTGCTACCAGGTGTAATGGGCCAGGTATTTACTCCGTTACTTGCTTACACTATAGTATTGAGGAAGCTCGCAATAGAACGACTGAGTCTTAGGCTTAAGGAAAAATCAACTCTGGACCAAGGCCACAGCCATGGCCACTCAAATACACGTCATAGTCCAATTGGCTAATAATGGGCTGGCTCCCCATATATCAGCCAATGACATGACAGCATTTCAGCACACGCTAGTCGTGTGCTGATGCACCTACCTATGTAAAGAAATCTACCTACTTATGTAATGGAGGGGCCAATTACATATGTAGCTACTCCTTATATTTCCCCCAAAACATAGCTTCTTGACGCCGTGGCAAGCCATAAAGTGGTGCTGCCACCCGCTTTTGGTAAACTTCGGCTACTTGCGAGAGGTATCTTCAAGATCTCAGCGAACGCTCGCGCGCGCTACCGCAGCCCGTCGCGACTCAAACTCTGCCAACAGCTCCACCAAGTACGTCTCCAGCAGCTTCGAGACAGTATGGACGGGGGCGGCTTTGGTAGCCCGAACGCGGGCTGGGCCCAGACAGCGAGCTTGCGGTGGCTCTACGCAGGATACTTGGCGTGTTGGCGGCAGACATGAAGCTGCTGCAGCTACGTGAGGCGCATTCGCTGGGGGAGCGAGACACAGCGCATTGTGTCAGCGCAAACGTAGGACGGGCTCTTCGTCGAGCACACGCAGTGCATGATGCGCCGAGGATGGAGTGGGTTCTTGGTTGTGGGCGGGAAATTTTATTTTCAAAGTTATAAGAGTGAACGTCACTTCGTTTTAACTACCTCAGTACTTATAGTGAGGTCCTGTATAAGCACATAAAATAATATGTCAGAGATATTAGTGTTTGACCCTTTCTTATTGCCGCTACTCCCTGAATATCGAGGCCCTAAAATAGGTCCTTTATCCGTTCTAATTGGCTAAAAGCAGATCCCTTGCGGAGCAAACTGTCGCTGGGAAGCTACGTGCATATTCTTTCCCTTTTGGGTACCAAAACGCGGGTTTGGATGCAAATCCATTATGCATCCCTGCAGTCCCTCTCGTAACTGGTGGCTCTTGTCTGCCGCTGGACCCAAATGCTGCAGTAGCTTTTCGGTCTCGAGACAAACAAGCAGCAGGCGATCAAGATGTTGGTGTGGCAGGATGTGTTTACGGAGGACGAGGTGATGTCGGACTCGAACAAGGTCGTCCCGTGCAAAGACATGGAGGGCAATGAGGTCTCGGGCATGTTCCAGGTCGAGTCCAAGACTGTGGCCAAGGGCTCGGACAACGTTGACATCGGCTGCGGTGACGCTTTTGGCGGTGAGGAGGAGCAGATCGACGACTCGGTCGAGACGGTGAACAATGTTATCGACGACTCAATCGGCTTCGGCTACATTGAGACTGGCTTCGACACCAAGGCCGAGCTCAAGACGTACCTTAAGTCGCACTTTCGTAAGATCATGAAGCACCTCAAGTCCACTGGTGCCAGCGACGAGACTCTGGCCCAGTTCAAGAGCGACGCCCAGGAGATTGTCAAGTTCCTCGTGTCCATGTTCAAGGAGCTGCAGTTCTACATGTTCAAGTCGTGCGACTCGGAGGCTGGCCTCGCCTACGCCTACTATCCGGAGGGCGCCGTCGCCCCCACCTTCTGCTACATTAAGTGGGGCCTCAAGGAGGTCAAGTTCTAAGCGCGTGCGAGCGCTAGAGGGGAGCCTTATTGCTTCTTTTTCTTGACCCGCGCATTAAACTCTAATTAATGCCTCCTTCATGTATGCACAACTGGATCTTCGTCATTACGGTGTGCTCTATTGTGCTAATTACTAGGTTAACGGTGATATACAGAACTGTACTTAGCGCTCAATGACGATAGCAACGACGCTGAGTCCAAGCACAGTGAAAAGCACCGCCAGGATCTTCAGCGTGAAAATCCGGAAGTCCAGTTGCTCCACTTCGTCGCTTTTCTTCTCCACGTCGCCAACGCCATGGTCGTAATGCAGTGGGATAAAGTCCACGCGACGGAAGCCCTGAGTGTTGCGCGAGTGCTCATTCTCCAACCGGAAAAAGCTCCAAAAGGTTCGGCGGAACAGCTCCAGTACCATCGTGAAAGGCTGCAAGTACAACGGCAACCAGCGAGCAACACCGCGCGGAGGGATGAGTGTCAGAGTCCACGCGAAACGAAGGAAAAGATCGGCCACAATGGCAGCATAGTAGACCCACTTTCGAGAGAACATTTGAGAGTCGCCTAAGAACTTAAACTGCGGGCGACCAAGTCCCCAGTCCATCGTCACATCCCAGATCCACGTGTACAGCGAGCTTGCAGTGAACAGCATGAGCCATGCAATAACGAACATTCGCACTTGTGACGAGTGTTCTTCTTCGCTGTTGTCGCTATGCAGAGGGTGGAACAGCCCGAAAAGAACCACCACTTGGGTGAGCGCGTACTTAGCAGCATTGGGCAAATGAGGCCACCACGTCTTCGTGTCGTACAAGCGGCGGAGATTCTGCAAAAAGCGCCACCATAATGGCAACGCGCAGACCAGCGGGACCACGACGTTCACGTAGTAGATATTGTCAGCACAGGTCGGATCATCGTCCGTAGGCATGAACTGTAACCCAGACGCATTGCCGCCAGGAGGGATGACATCCTTACGTAAGAATTCCTTCGTAGCGAAGAAACAAACCGACCAGCTGACATCCTGAGTCACTTTAACTGTACTTGTAAGGTAGTCGCCCACGAACGTGTGGAAGAACGACACCGGATACAGTGGTGACCATACAACTTCCCACAAGGTTCTTATCATACCAAGTTGTTGTCCCCATGGACGGATAGCGTAGAAGTAGAAGGTGTACAGGAACAACGTTAACGGATAGTACCCGCGATGCAGTAGTTCCTCAGGGAAATAACCATTCACAACCTTGTAGTAGAGCAGGACATTTGCCAGATAGACAATGGTCATGTTGGTTGCGTCGCTGAAGACCTGCGGGTAGGACTGGACTCGCCGAGGGTTCAGCTCGAAGATGTAGTGATAGTTGATCCGTGCAGCACGCCAGACGTAGAGCGAAATTCCTACGAGCCAGTGCAGCAGCAAGAGACAGCCAATTCCGCGGTAGACCGGATAGGCTCGAGTGCGTACTAAGTCAAGCAGGTGGTTCTCACGACCATTGTGGAATGTAGGGACCACGAGCGAGTCCCAGCACACCCATATCAACAGGATCAGACAGGAACCAGCTTTGATGCCCAAATAAATGTGACCCCAATTGACAAAATCCTCCTTCTTGGTCATAAGAGTCGCCACTGCAACGTGCGCGTTCCCATCGCAGAACCAGTTGGCAAACGACTGCTCCAATCGCTTCAGCAGCTCGGAGCATCTCTGCGCTTTAGCAAACTCGAACGTTTGCAGCTTGACTTTCTGCTGTTCACGCTGGTCCGCTGGGAAACTGGCAATCTTGTCGTAGCGTTTAAGAATCTTCACGAATCCTGTGTAGTTAAGTAGAGCAAAATTGTGCAGCAAGTTCAACAAGCGATGCAGTTCGACTAGTGAATTCTTGAGCGACTCCTGAGCTGTAGCTGTCGCATTCTCTCGGTATTGCGCTTGCAAGTGCTCGAGTTGCTCAGCCAATTGCGCTGTGTGGCGCATGTAAGCGTATTCTACCTTGCTGTACTCGTACTCCAGCGCCTCCTCGAAGGCGACAGGCGCGGAGAGCAGCGACTGCAGCTGATCAGAATCGGTGGACGTGGGCGGCGTCCCTGGCAGTCGTAGGAACGGGACTTTGCTGCTGATCGTCTTGGCTAGTTGCGTGCTACTGCCTGTGGTCATGGTGCGCCATTTGTGGCCACTCAGTGCATTGGCTTCCATGTCCTTGCTCGGCGCTCGCACACCCACATCCGTGCTTGACGCAGTGGATCCGGCTGCGGCCAACGCTGCATCAACCTGCTGCTGCCGCTCTAACAGCCGCTTGAGCCCATCGTAATCCAGGTAGTCGCCGCGCCACTCAGCGACAGAATTGTCACGCAGCCTTAAGCTGAAGTTCACCATAGTGGAGGATCCAGTTGTGGCAGTCAGGGGAGTATCGCCAGAATCAGATACGTTGAGTAAATCTGATGAGCCTGTAAAACTCGGCGATTTTAGCAGAAAAGGCCTGGAATCAGCGAGCAGCGTTGATTGGCCAATTTTGATCACAATTCAAGGACTAAAGTGGCCAAAATCTAATACAGTAGTTCTTTTAGCACTGTATACTAGTACAGATGCAGGCATTATTTCCGCAGCGCCGCTAGCCGCATTGAGAGATCGTCCTGGGACTTCTTCTCTCGTGCAGCCTCCGTTGTTGGAAGCTCTGTACCGACAAGACCCGCTGAATCGAGCTGACCTGCGACCTTGAGCCCGTTTTCGTCCGCGACCATTTGGATGAGGTCGTCCACCTGGTCGGCAGGTGTCGACAGCGACGTTCCGCTGCTCATGGCGCCCTCCATGTAGGCGGAGCGTACATCCATATCCTCAAAGTGCTTCTCGAACTGGTCCATAGTCTGTGAGATCTTCTCCACGTTCATTGACTCCATGACCGTATCCATACCTCTGACTACGCCGCTCATATTGGCCTTGAGCTGGCCCATGCTGATGGCCGTCTGCACGCGCGCCGCAACAGCATCCATGCGCGAGGCTAGTTGCAAGTAGCTCAGCGCCTGGTTCTTCTCTCGGATCACGTTCTGCGCGTAGATCTTGGCACCTTCCATGTTACCCTGCTCGATGGCCTTCTTGAGTTTGGTCTTTTGCACCACTTGGTTCTTCTCGCATTTCTTGGCATTGCGCAGTAGTGTCTTCGCCGTAAACTTCATGTTAAATAGCTCATCCTCCAGCTTGTTCTTGCGCGAAAAGATGTTCATCATGGCGCAATGGTCGCCCGCTGTCTGCTGTTCAAATGCCACGCGTAGCGGTAGATCTCTCTTGTTCGCTTCTTCGGAACAGTGGATTTAGTTTAGCAACCTAATCTCATTGTCTATGTTGCTAAAAACGATTATGTTGCGCTTGTTGAGCAAAGCAACTTCAATGAAATTCTATCCGACAAGTTGCATTTAAGTTGTCTTTGTACATGTAAACAGCAATCTCAGACGGCAAGGCTCGCCAGCAGGCCCCGATAATTTTAGGCAAACAGGAATAGCACACTGAGAGTCTCTATGCACGCAGCATGCGGAAAAGAAAAGACAGCTACTATGCGTGGCTAACGGCCGCCATCCCGGTGTCTACAAGACCAAGGCGCCTACTCCCACAACCAGCATCAACGGTTCGACGTACATGGACCCCACCCTTGGGTCATGGTCGAGTACCATTGAGGCCGAGCGACAATTGATCCTTCTGCTCCTGTGCTACCAAGTTGCTGATGGTTGTGTCTGTACCATTTGCTTGACGTAGGTGTAGTGTCGTTTTGCTGAGCCGCCCAGATAAGGATGAAAACGTGCTCTAGAGCAGTTAGTAAGCTATGTATAAAAACGATCTTTAGAGCAAAATTACGGAAACGCTGACTAGTAATTTAAGCTCACGCAAAGAAGTAAACACCGATATATGCACCATGATGAACGATCTCGTGACAGTCCAACCTCTGTCGTTGCCCACGCATGTGACTCGCCAGCACCACAGCCACAGCGTAGATGGCATGAGCCCGCGTGCGCACAACACTGTTAGCTCCGCCGCTACGCTTGCTGCAGCCGCCGAGGAGAATATCCCCACGCACCACGTGCGTCGCCTGTCGACTGGCCAAAAAACTGACGAGGCCCTCCCCAAGGAGCGCATCGACATCATAAACGATTTCCTCCAGGAGCACGTCGCTAGCCGACCGCTTGTTGGTGTTGTGTGTGGATCTGGTCTTGGTGGACTTAGCAAATGCCTCTCAAATCAGGAGACCATCAAGTACGAGGACATTCCACTATTTCCTCGCTCGACTGTGGAGGGCCACGCCGGCGAACTGATCTTTGGTGATCTGGAGGGCTTCCGTGTCGTATGCATGCGCGGCCGTTTCCATTGCTATGAGGGTTACGCCATGCGCGAGACGGCACTGCCCATTCGCGTCATGTACCTGTTAGGTATCAAGTATTTGGTGGTGACCAACGCTGCGGGTGGTCTAAACCCTGACTTCAACGTGGGCGATCTCATGATCCTGAACGATCACTTGAACATGCCGGGGTTGTCGGGCCAACACCCTCTGATCGGCCCTAATGACCCTCGCTTCGGCTCAAGATTCACACCACTGTCGAACTGCTACGACAAGAAACTGCAAGGTATAGCATTCAACGTGGCCCAGAAGCTTGGCCTTGCTCATAAGATTCGAAAAGGAGTATACTGCTTCGTGTCTGGGCCGACGTACGAGACGCCGACGGAGTGCCGCTTTCTCCGACTGGTGGGAGGTGATGCCGTTGGCATGAGTACGGTTCCCGAGGTGATCGTTGCGGCACACTGCGGACTCAAAGTAATCGGTCTATCGCTTATCACAAACAAGGCGCTTTTCCCAGGTGAGGAACGAGAGGCAGCCTCGCACGACGAAGTCCTGGAGACCGTCCAGGCCACGCAGAACGACATTGAGACGTTCGTGCGAGACCTTATCGCAGCGATAGGCAAACAACATCATTCGTAGAATGTTTTCATAGCAACTGCTACATGTACTCGGCTCCATCTCAAATCTTAAACTTTGGTAGTACGTCTGATAAATGTTTGTAGTTGTATAAAATTGAATGCGGGCATTGCTTATTTGCTTAGTGTTGGGTCCTATCCTTTCAACTAAAGTATTATCTCTTCTTTTCTGAGATTGTCGTGTACTCGACGAGGAAAAGTCTAACATCAGTGTGGCACCCATTATGACATAACACGTCGGATTACATGTAATACCATCACTCATACGACTTCTCTTGTTGTTTGCACTGGATCCGTAGGCAGCCTTTGCACACCAGAGAGGAAAATGGAAAGTAAGTAGATTAGATCGTTAAGCACTCGAGGACTCTGCAAACTCCCTCGTGCTCCTACAAGTTGTAGGCTACAACCAATAAACGGGTTCAAGCCCGCTTCCCATACAGAGGCCCGTGTCTCTCAGTTTCTCGAAGCTTCTCTCTTAGTTAGTCTTACGTTGTGCACGGGTCTCGGACCTGGTCTTCAACTGCATTGTCGTCAGGTCTCCAATATGCATTCCAACACGCCTCCCACGAAGCGCACGATTCGAACATCAGCATGCACTTCCTGCGGCTTACTTGTTTTCGCCGATGCCCACAAGCTGCAGTAGTGACTTCAGTCTTTGCTTCTCCAATGCCTTCGTAAATGCATCAGCCGGATTAACTTCGCCTCTCACTTTGTGCAGCTGGATAGCTCTCTTCTGCACTTGCTCTCGTACGTAATGCCATCGGAGCTCGATATGGCGTGTACGGCGGCTGTACGTTGGATTGGTTGCTAACAAGTGTGCAGCTTGATTGTCAATCCCAATCTTGAGTTCAACACTCAGATGCGGCAGTGTGACGGGGTCACACAGCACCTTGCGCTAGAGGAAGTTATCTTCCGAGAGTATACAAACTCTCAGTGAACGGCAGTTCACAGGTCCCCTCTTTAATTAAAGAGAGCGAAGTGACCTATTTATGGTAATGTAAACTGAGTATATTTATAGGTGGATAAAGCTTGGGTTTAATACAAACTATAAGTCACCTATAGAAATGCAATGTCATTAACCAATGGTTGGCTTTGGACGACCTTGGTACCTTGTACCAAATATCCCGGAGTATGACGTGTCATACTCCTGAAGTGTGAAGTGTCACACTTCATGTAACTAGGGTACACTTAGGGCTACGAACCCCGTTACATCCTCCCCCACTTAGGTTCGGTTTACCGACCAATCAGAATGAAGAGGTGTTCGTCACAAACTCTCATTCTCAAAGTCGAAAACCATCGACTTGGCCGCGCGAGCGCGGCGGAGGCTCACTTTACAGTTAGAGCCTCGAGCAGCAACCTGTGCGCTCTTCGTCTAGGTCCCCACTTCGACCGTTATCATGCCTCGTGGCACTGCAAAGAGCGATGCTAAGACACGCTCCAAGGCTGCTGCCGGTAAGGCGCAAGCCAAGAGCACTAAGCCTCACGGCAAAGGCTCTGCACTCAAGGAGGCTACTCAGGTGGCCTCCGAGGCGATCGGTTCCTCGGGCGACGCGGCTGTGGACACGCGCGCAAGCAAGCGCCGCAGCCCGTCGCCCTCATCTTCAGACAATCGTCCGAACCCTCGGTTTGTAGAACGTGAGTTCAACTCGGGCAGTGAAGACGATGCCGAGTCCGAGAGCACTCATGATGCTTCTGCGGGCTCTGTGGGAGCAGACAGCCCAGTGCCCAGTGAGCACAAAGATGGCAGCGTGCAGTCGCCCGCTAGTGATCACGGTGATCACAGTCCCAGGACCTCTGTGCGCTCTGAGAGTCCGGCCGTCAAGGCTAAGGGCGCTCCCAAAGCCGGTGGCGATGAGAAAGAGAATCCTCGCAAACGTCTCTCGCTTGCCGAGGGTCTTGCGCGCGCTAAGGCCTCTAAAGACGAAGGCGCCAAGCCCTCAAAGAAGCGTACATGTGGTGAAGTGCTTTCTCAGAAATAAGAGAATGGGCCTGACGCGGGGTCACTATCCCGAATCAGTGACAATTTCAAGTGATTAGAGAGGATTCGGGTTGGTGGCACGGATGCAAGTTGCCGGTGGTGGATTAGCCATGACGAGCAGCACCCCGTATGAAATGACGATGGATCTGGTATGAACGAAGTACGAGAAGGCAAGCCACCAAGACTTACCTCGGATCCACCCTTACCTGGATTCACTTAGATGGATATGGGATATACTATATAAGGGTGAATCGAGTGTGGATCCTATGAACGAATGATGGTAGGTGCCCTCTGAAGATGGATCTAGTAGCCACGGCTAACAAGAAGTCAGGATCCACCGCGAGGTGTCCCGGATCCCATACTCCCGAGCTCGGATCAAAGGAGGGAGGATCCCGCATGGACGGACCTGGATCCAGGGTACAGGGATGATGGATGTGGTGGATCTCGAACTTTCGTGGGACAATGGAGATCACAGATGGTTGCGAGATAATGTTGGATGATTGGAGAGCTCAGATCCACGACGAGTGTGCACTTACAGTGAAGTGGATCCAAGCGACCTGGATCCGGATGAGTGTACCCATAATAGGGTGACCATAATGATAACGCCGTGGATCCGGTGGATCTGAAGATAATACAGCTGGGATGATGGGTCAAGGGAAGGAGGGACATGCAGCCGAGCCTGGTAAGGGATTTAGCAGATGAAAGACAAAGAAGGTAGAAATCCAGGCAGGTATAGGCTTAAGTATCAATACAGTCCTCAATTTGCACAGTAACACACAAGTGCCTTCCCGCCCTCAAGAACCGGAACTACATTGGCCGTACGAGCTCCGTGAAGGTTAGGAATTGCGAATCTAGTGTTGGTAGCGATAACTGGATAATACATTGGCCAGATCCTACAACCTAGTGAGCTTTCCTATACACGTGCAGATCCGACAGGTTAACCGAATTTACTACTTAGTCGGTTACACCCTAGAGGTTCTCAACTCTCAAGATCCCGTCACAGGAGGCGGCAAGTACGACGCAAAGGAACTACAAAGGCAAGGGAACACACCCGCAAGGCAACCCTACGGCCAGATCCACGATCTAGGCCCCGGATCCATAAGCTCGAATATTCGCTTAGGATTTGGAACCATCCACGGACGCAGAGTGAAGATTTTCCACTGCTGCTCCACCCCATCCCCACGTCTCGCCAAGACACTCAAGCTTCACCACTTGAACTCTTCGGAAGTTACCGAGAGAGCAAGATCCCGCCCTACCGACGGGTACACAAGGTGAGGAAAGTTCAGCAGAACACGGATCATCGGGGGACCCCCTCCGTTAGTCGGTGTCTGGGCGCAGTTGGTAAGTTGGATCCAGCAATCTCGCAGATTTTGCTGATCCCGCTACACCACAATGGTGCGCGTGCCCGGATCTTTTGGTGACTCGGGATTTCACCGTGAGTCCCAAGAAGATGCTCAAGAAAAAATTGAGCCAGGGGAAGAGGCGTCGTCGGAAGTCGGATCGACGAAGACGCTGCTGAATGAAACAAGATCCGCGGATCGATGGAGTTTTGGGAGGAACTCTGTCGACGGAAGAGAGGTGGATCCGGATCTCGAAGAAAAACCTCTCTATCCTCCCCAGGTCCCCTCGGGGACCCCTGCGGATCTTGACGCAAGTCAAGATCCGCTAACAAAACAAGGTAAAGTGAAGGCGAAACGGTATGCATTTGCAGATTCACCGGTTAAGCCAACACTGTACATAAACCCAACCCCGCTAGTCGAAGAAACGAGAAAGAAGACGAAAACGAGTAAGACTACGCGGAAGAAGATGCAAGCTCCAGAGTCGGAAGAAGACCAAGCTGGATCCAGGTCAGGCTGGTCAGACAAGGATCTCGAGTTTGTGTATCGCCACCAAGCTTTACGCGACTTCCTGCATCAAGATCCTGTCATGCAGATCCTGAATCCACGACAGATCGAAGATCCAAGAGAACCGGTGAGAGCACCAACGAAACGGCGAACAAGTTGGTGGCAGTCAAGGATCTATTACGTTTGCTTACGGAGTCAGGCATCGCAGCTGGTGTGTTCGACGCAGAGGATATCTTCGAGCTAGACCTGGATCTCATAGTATCCGCGACGCGGGACCTCTTTGCCAGAGTTAAGTCCATCACCGGAGAAAGGTCGCGCACTATGGATCCAGTGTCGTCGCCGAGGGTCAGCCAAGCTGCGTCCTCGAACTACGAATCCGCCGCTGAGGATGAGTCAGACACGTCGTCCGAACCACGACGCATGACTTTAGGACCCTCCGGGGCATCCATGCTGGAAGCACGGGTCAGGCTGGTCAGACAAGGATCTCGAGTTTGTGTATCGCCACCAAGCTTTACGCGACTTCCTGCATCAAGATCCTGTCATGCAGATCCTGAATTAACGACAGATCGAAGATCCAAGAGAACCGGTGAGAGACCCAACGAAAACGGCGAACAAGTTGGTGGCAGTCAAGGATCTATTACGTTTGCTTACGGAGTCAGGCATCGTAGCTGGTGTGCTCGACGCAGAGGATATCTTCGAGCTAGACCTGTATCTCATAGTATCCGCGACGCGCGACCTCTTTGCCAGAGTTAAGTCCCATCACCGGAGAAAGGTCGCGCACTATGGATCCAGTGTCGTCGCCGAGGGTCAGCCAAGCTGCGTCCTCGAACTACGAATCCGCCGCTGAGGATGAGTCAGACACGTCGTCCGAACCACGACGCATGACTTTAGGACCCTCCGGGGCATCCATGCTGGAAGCGCGGGCGAGGATCCGGGGACAGGAAGTCCCTCTGAAGCCTCGCGATCCAGTATGCCCTACCCGTGATCTGATACAATCCAGCCAGGATCGAGCCAGATCCGGCAAGAAGCCAGTGGGGTTACTGTCAGATCGGACTTAAGGTAATCGCCTCACGGATCCTGTCTCGCCAGTGGACCAGCCGGTCACAAAGCTCTTCCGACACCTCCTCAGGTACCCTGCAGCGACACTTCGAAGCTACGATGAGTCGTTTCCTGGCCGAACAG